GCAGATCTCGCTCGCACTCTTGTCTCGTCAGCCTTGTTTCGAGGCAGGAGCGCGCCACTGCGAGGAGCTACAGAATCTACAACGCCGCAGGTCCAACCCCAAACCAGAAGAAACACAAGAACCGAAAGAAAAGGCCCTTTTCCAGGAAACCCAAGATTCTTATCGAAACTAAGCCTAAAGCGGCGGTGGTTCCTCCAGCCAGTGTGAGGCGAGAAGCCCGGGACATGAGGGGTCAGCAACAAGCACAGCCGAGCCCAGTTGGCAGCCCAGCGCCAGAGCTTAGGAGCAGCGAGGCCCTCATAAACCTCATCTGGGACAGGCGGCGCACAAAGGAAGAGGCTGCAGGAGGCGGAAGGGTGCAGTCCCTCGTCGACAATCCGCAGGATTCAGCCTTGCAGACGGCGGATATCTTCCTGAGCACAGGTGTGAGGCCTTTGGAGGGGCTGCGCCCCTTCGCGGTTGCATGCAGAGCAACACTTGAATCAACAAGAATGACTATGCGTCTGAGCCCAGAAAAGGCAAGGCTCCTGAGCAGGCGCAACACTGAAGTGGTTTCATGGATATTAATATGCACAGGGGCCTTCCAGTACCAGGAGTCGTTAACAAGGGGATTCTCTAGCCCGGCAACATTGATCTCGAAAGAAAAGCGACATGAGAGTCGCGACGCAGGGCTTGGGAAAACTCGTGCGCGAGAGCTTCAGCAAGCAGGGGGGTATACTTTGCGGATTCGCGAGTATATTTCCCCTCCACACGTATGTGACGGTGGTCATGAGTACAAGGTTTGCATATTGGTGACAAATCTATCCCTACGGCTAAGAACCTAAATTCTTTGCGAAGTGGACTCCCGAAGCTGCACGAAGCTGTCCAGAACTCCAAAGCCCCCAGCGCAAGGAGACGGCGCCATTCCTTTAACCACGCCATTTTGGAAAGGCGCGGTTGTTCAAGAACCCCAATGGCTCCAAACATCCGGGCAACGAGAGTCAAAGCTCGGAGCTACGGCAAGCTGGATGACCAGCTGGGCTGTAAGTTGCGCAAGGGGGGGGGGCCACAAGGAAGCTACGGAGCCTCTTCCGCTGCAACAGGTGGATCAGCCACTCGAGGGTCCGCAACCATTCCATATTGAAAGCGGGGCTCTCGGCGACGTCGATCGAAGCACCAATGCCAAATCCCTTCCGACCTAAGGCGGCAGCGACCCTAGCCGAACCACTGTAGACCTCTATGAAGTCAAACACGTACGCAAGCGGGCGTTGAGGGGATGCACAGGAAGGGGGCTGCACAGCTCGCAAGGCAAAATGCTCCGGCGTCAAACTTTGCCAGAGTGGCTTCCTCATTTGCGAGCAGCCTGTTGTAACCTGCCTTTTTGGAAGCCGTGCACCAGAGGGGCCTGGTAACGTCAGCCCAAAACCCTTTGCTTCGGACGCGTCACTGGCGTAGAGAGTGGGGTCCAGGGGGGCCGCAAGGTCAATCTGGCCGGACAGACAAGAGAGCCAACTCCTAGCAGCAGGCCAAGGCACAAAGAACCAGCCGACGTGCATCAACCTGAGACGCGTTCACAACGCCGTGGGCGGAGGCAAGGATGGACATCAAGGGCCTGCGAAAGCCCCCTAACAGCGAGAGGCGCAACGCATCCGAGGTGTGAGAGAAGCAGGCAGATTCTAAGACACCAGAGCGAGCGAGGCTCGCTTGCGGGCAGGAGAGGCTAGGGTTGCGACGCCAAGGGCGCGTGGCAGCGGAAGAGCATACCTCAGCAGCTGCTATCTTCGCAACGGGCTGTGCAACATCGGAGCTGACAAGACCTTCGGCTTCGTAAATCCGCTTGGCATGAGCCAGCTGCTTGGCACAGGTAGGAGGGCCAGGGTCCTTGAGAACACACGGAGAAATAGTCGTCTATGACTAATCCTTGAGCCTCCCTATCCCCTTTAAAGGGGGTGTTGGAGCAAATTCTAGAGCCACCATCAAGCAGGCCTCCATCCTCAAGAAGCTGCCCATGAGCACTGGAGGCGATTTCTACGCCTAGGTGGTCTCCTTGAGCGATTGCTTTGAAGCAAACGAGGTAATGATGGCAATCACCCCGCTGTTCTCTTGTCACGCAAGCCCTGCTCCGAGCATCCGAAAGCATTGACGCAAAGGCAGAGGTCGATTCAACAGAGGACCTGGGCAGAGCTGGGCCAAGAGCATTGGACGCAGCCTTGGAACGGGAAGCAGCGATTTGATGATAGAAGTCCTTACGGTCGGTTGCTGAACAAAGCAAGGTCTGGCGCGAGGGGTCAAGTTCCAACACGCCAAGCATAGGCCCCACTGGAATGAACAGGCTTGGTCCGCACAAACGAGCCTCGGCCCAATTGCGGCCACGACGGTCAATCACTTGCCTGTCCTTGTCCGGGCCTTTGTAGCAGTTAAAGGCCCTGACCAAGAGGTATGAATCAGAGGCCGGGAGCAAGGCCGGTTCAAGGTGAAGGAGTCCAAGACTGTCCCAAAGCTGTGCCAGAGAAGCAGTCGGGCTTGCTTTTCACGGATCCAGACAGGCACGAAGTCACAGGGAGGAGCACCCCCACGCAGCAGGGCGCGGGGCTCGTTGTGAGCCATGCACAGGTCATCAGACAGGAAAGGGCTTGGACTCTACTCACATGCGCGACCAGGCGTTGCTGCGCTGCAGTGGGCGACTGACAGAGAAAGTCCAAGGGCGGCGGAACAAAGTTCGCATGGAGAAAGTTGAGCCCCAGACAAACTACATGAAGCAGGCGCCTGTGCATGATGCGCCTCCTTGCCCTCGATCCAATCTCGATTGAGAAGCGCTCAAAGACACCTGGGTGGAGGACAGGTAAGGGGAAAGCGGAACCCCTTGAAGGCTGGCCGGGAGGGCCTGCGCAGGTGCAAGGTGGACCTAAAAAAGACAGCGAAGGGGGTGCGAGTACGAAGCACCGCCCTCAACAAGCCACCGTCCCAAGTGGCAAAAGAAACCTCAGTAGAAAAGTCCAGAGAAGTACCCAGCCCAGGCTTTGCATAAAGTCCAGGAGGCGGCCGGGTAGTCTTGGAACCTTGACAGGCAGAGAGGGTTCAGCAAAAGGCTTGCAGAAGAAGACTAGCCTGAGGCCAAGCAAAGGCAGGCTCACGCAACACGTTTGGCAGCACCGATGGGCTGGACGGAGCATCGGCACGCGCAAGGCTGTCTACTTTGGCACAGGCGGATCCTTGAACTTTCGAGGAAAGCGAGGTGAGACTCTCCCGCCTGCGGGAACGAAGGCACCTGGGAGCCGGTCCCCAGACTCTCCAAACGACGGGTTGTGATGAGGTCGATTTCCTTCAAGTACTGAAGGGCACACGTAGTCCAGGCCACCGAAGACAGGGGCAAGAAAGCTCGGGGTCTCGTGTTCGAGCTGTATGGTCTGGCGCGGAAGAGCTGCGATGGGTTCAACCTCTTGAAGGCGGCTTGCATGACTTGAAGGAAGAAATCTCCTGAGGTCCTGCCAGCGCTGCCTGCCCATCCTGCTGGGCCACAAGATGACCAACCAACGTGGACAAGGCCTATCCTGAAGCGGCACTAAGTGAGGAGCATCGATCACAAAGCTGCGCACAGCGCCGGTTTCGGTCACCGGGTCGAAAGTCCTCATGGATGCTAAGGCAGACACCTCGAGATCTAGAAGCATGACAGGAATGTCCAGGCCGGCAGGGATCTCCTCTCCCGCTTCGTCTTCCTCGATCGCTGGCACTGTAGCGAGGTGGGCAGGACCTAGGATAGCTGATGGGAGGGGAGTCTCGGATTCTGCTAACACCTCGGCATGCAAGTCGGCAGGCAAGGCACATAGGAAGCCCCCATCCCTGGACAGGAGGGGAAGGAGCAATACCTGACGCGGCTCTCCGGAACTAGACCCCGGTCCAAGTGAGCACACATGGTTGTCCACCACCCACCTCCTAAGCGGAGATCTGCAAGCTGCAGCATCACTGATGCAAATGGGGCAAGGGGATGCCGGCGGCGTAGCAATACACACGGGCCTCAGCGAGGGAATCCAAAGAATGGCAGGCTGCATCGGTATGCTCCAGAGGGCCGACGGCCCGACGGAAGGATGAGTAAGTGCTGAATCAAGCAGGCTCAGGCAGCTGGGTGCAGCGAAGCACCACGTAGACAATAGGCCGCAAGCCCACAGAAGCAGAGGGAAGGGGAGTGCCCCACCTCCCTTCCAGAACCTCTTTGGCCCACAAGCCTGCAATCCAAGCACGACTGGCTCTCTCAGAGGCGGACAAAGAAGAAGAGGAAAGCCTTGCACAAATGTCCAAGCAATATTGAGCGCACGCAGCAAAGGAGGCGTCCGTCTCCACACGGGTTGGTGCAGATCGGGTGGCACTAGGGGAAACCCTAGGTAGGTTCTCAGGACTAGCAACCCTAGCACGAGGAACCCTAGAGGGACGATGCTCGGCAGAGCCCTCGGAAGGAGGATCCGCAAAGTCCCAGCCCTGAGACGAAGCAGCGGACCTATCAGGGCCACTTGGACCTCAGCAATGGCAGCAGCCAAGTCCGGCTCACCGCTCATGCACGTATCCCCTTAGTCTTAAGGAGGCGGGCCTAACCACTAAACCCCTAGGGGAATTAGAGGAAGAAGGGCCGGCTGGCGTGCAGCACAGAAGGCGGAAAGAGCGAGGCACGAAAGAAGTACAAAATGGACAGTGCCCCAAATCCAAAACCTGCACACCAGATGGCCAGAGTGAAGCTGAAAGATTTCCCACAATGTGCTGGGCAGCCCAACCCGAACGAAAGTTGTTGGAACCCCAGTGCAGAAGACTCAAGACCTGAGGCAAACTCTCTATCCAAGACATACCAGCTTGAGCAGCGCGGCCACGATTGCTCTCGCACCTACAAGTCAGGCCCTCTTCACTAAAGTCAGCGCAACATTATATATAAGATATACATATACATCTCAACCCCTGTGTCTCCAAGGTCTTGTAACTAACCACATGCAAGCGCACGCACCGCGTCTACCACAGGACATACAGCAGCAACAAGGTCAGCCGGCCATTGCAAGCTTCTTCAGACGCTGCCTAAGGGACTCCCCTTCTTGCTCCTGACGGTGTTGGGGTTGGAGGGAAGCTGAAGGTTCTGTGAGATGCCACGATGCCCTTGGGTCTCCTTCTTCTGGACGAGCTCACGCTTTTTTGCCACCTCCTCCCGCAAAGCCTGAAGCAGACTGCACAGAAGGCTTCAACATGTTCACCATGCAAGAGGATCCTGCCAAGACAGATCCAGAGTCACAAAGTCTCGGGTTCGGACCTGGAGAACAGCTTCGTCCTCTGCCTGGCAGGCGGAGAGTTCACGTTTGTGACGCGAGGCTCAACCTTCTGGCTTAGCGTTCGTAAGCGCAGCGCCCGCAGCCTCGTAGTCTGCGCTGGCAGCCGAGTGGGCAAGCATCGCCATCGTCTGCTGGTAAAGGGTCGAAACGCGAGCCTTCTCCTGGCGACATGCAAGCATGACGGCTTGGAATGGGGATCGCAATTTCCACAACCCGTACTCGCACGCCTAGATGGGTGGGTGGAAAACGGCTGCGCAAGAAACAAGCAATCGAGACACTGAAGCGTGTGCTTCGACTGGAATCATTGGCATGCTCTTCAACCTACTTTTGCAGCGGGCACTCTTCACTTCTGAAGCTTGCAGATGCCTGAACCAGGAGGTGTTCCTGCGTTCCCCCGTTAACGCTGAATCACCCTCGAACTGCGATGCCCCGTTAATCCGACGATCCTGAGCAGTCAGTTCTCGAACTCCCCGGGGCAGTTCCAGGCCATTTCCCTACTGCTTACAGGGAACTCACATGACATCTGCCTTTTCTAGCTTGTCCCGCTCTTCCAGGAGCCTGCGCCAGACCCCAACGTCAGAGAATATGCACGCTGAGGTCAGCAGATCTGAAACTTCATACCATGACTCGATGCCTGGCATTTGCTTGAGTGGCCTTTTCCAGGGTCGACCTGGAGCGGGCCAGCCGACTAGCCCCTCATGCATGCTGAACAGCGCAGAGGAGCATCGCACATGTGACTTGACAGACCCACTTAAGTATGCAGATCAATGTGTGTCAGTGTGTTCGGTCTCCGTTTCAGGAGTTCTTCATGGACCCGCGCTTCTGCTCGTACTTTTGAGGCCTAGCGTCTCTTTTCCTCTCTAAGAAGTTGGCTCGCGAAACTGTTTTTGCTTCTCTCGGTCTTTGTCCAACGCCTGGCTGCTGGCAGGGAAGTGGGAGCAGAGATCACATTCCGCTTGGAGCCTCAACCCGGATCATGAGCCGGTTGCGCTCATCCACAACCTTCCGACAGACAGAGACAGACAGGAAGAGAGAGAGAGAGAGA